AGCTGTGCTATTGCCTGGCAGAGCAATGTAATTATAAGGTAAAAGAATCTTATGTTTAGTGAATACTTGATTTAGACGGTTTGTAAGAAGTTTTGTATAAAGTTTTTTGGCATGTTCAAGAAAGCTAATAGGTCTGATGTTGATTAGATTGCAGTTAAAGATAGATTTCTTTAAAATTAGAAAGATTCTACCCTCTTTCCATTCCTTGGGGATTTGGTTTAAAGTAATACATTTATTTAGAAGAGCTGTAATTGCTTGAAAGAAGAGTGTGCCTGCATGTTTTAACATTTCATAACTAATGCCAGAAGGGCTGCAGGCCTTATTGTTTAGAAGATGAGATAATGTTTCAGTTACTTCAGTGATAGTGAATTCTTTAGTAATGTCATTATACCACTTGGTACTTATGTGCTTTTTGCAATTATATTCTTCTTTCTAATTGGATTCAAAGATTTGTTGATTGGTCTGTCTGAAAGATGTCCATTAGTCAAAATGTTGTTGGATATGCTGTTTAATGTCTTGAGGATTAGTGATTACATCATTGTCTGTTCTGATATTATCGAATTTTACTGGGTCTTTGTGACGTTAGTATGCTATTGATCATTGACTTTGGGTTGAATTAGAGTTTGGAGCATCTTTTGGAAATATTATCATTAATCTGTTGTCTTATTTCATTGATATTTTCTATATTACGAGCATGATAGATAGATTTCCATTCAGTTTTAGCAAGTGCTAGCCAGTTTGGCAATAGGTTGTGAATAGTTGGTAAAAGTAGAACTATATATATATTAGCAAAAATCGAGTTATATTTATATATTTAAAAAAAAGCTTTGTCAATTAATTTTTGAATATAAAAATTACCAAATAGGATTTTCTTATAAGTATGATTAAAATTAAAGAAAATTATATTAATCAAATAAATATTAAATATTACTTGTTTCATTTTTAGGGTTACTAAGAAAGAGTATATTCTGAATTTTATAATTGTGAGTGGTGGCACCGTGCATAATGACAAATTCCATCTGACAATAAGGTTTTAGCAATAATATTATACTCTGATGTAACTGCACTAGACTATTTAGGAAAAAGCTCCAGACATCCAATATATATTAGCTTAGGTAATATTCCAACAAATTTTATAATAAACCTGAAGCTAAGGCACTTGTTGGTATAATACCAACATTACAAGAAACTAAGGAAGAGCAAAATACACCAGAATTTAGACAAAAGATTTGAACAAACTTTCACAAATGTATTAATATATTAATTGAATCATTATGTTTACAGTATAATTCTGGAGTATTATTAAATGTTAATGATTGTAATTTAAGATGTAATATGATGCTAGCTAGTATTATTAGAGACTGGCCCAAAAATTGCAAATAATGCTTAACTTATAGTAGAACAAAATGTGCACGCCCTTGTCATACTTGCCTTGTAAAAAAGGATAAATTAAATGTTATTAATTTATCAGTAAGTCAAAAGATTATTCGAACAGAGGATCATTGCATTAAAACAAGGCAAAGATTATTCATTGCATAAAGAAACTAATAGTTTTTGGAATCATTTGTAAGTTTAAAATTTATTTTAGTATACATTAATAATAAGGTTTAAGCTTTTAATATGCATTAATAATAAGGTTTAAGCTTTTTGTATATATTATTAATAATAAGGTTTAAGTTTTCAGTATATACTTTATGAATTATATATATACTTATTTATTTATTTATTTTTGCTATAGAAATTTTAATATTTATACAGCAACTATTCCTGAACAAATGCACTACTTAGACCTTGGACTCTTTGAACATATGATTAAATGTACACGAGATCTCTTGAAAGCTTATAGAGGTAATGCCCTTGTTAATAAAATAGATTTGAGACTTGAATTAATACCATGCCATCCAAGATTAAAAGTATTCAATAATGGACTTGTGGATCTCACTTTGTTTATAGCATCTGAGTATAAGCACATGATAAAAATTATGCCATTTGTTCTTGAAGGTCTTCTTGAAAAAAATCAAAATAAACTACTCGTTCAAATGTTTGTTAATTGGAATAAAATGTATAATCAATCAAGACAATATAAATTTACACCAAGTGACCTTTACCAATTTGAGATTAGTAATTATATTTTTATTGGTATAAAATAAATACAATTTATTAAATTAACTTATCAGATTATTGCTAGTGATATCATTCAAACTATTTAAGATAATTCAATATATGTTAGTTAGTTTTGTCAAATATTAATTTACTTTATTAAAAAATTATAAAAACTAATTATCATATAGTTTTAATTATCTTAAATAGTTTGAATAATATCACTAGCCCTAATAAATACTTTTATAGATATTAATTCAAAAATGGGCAAAAAATTTTGTCGATATTCTTGGTTCATTTACGAAAAATGATTGTTAATTTTCAAAAATTCCATCATTAGATACACCATACTATTAAAGAGTATAGAAATTTAGATGGATTGAGTGCTGAGACATATGAAGCACTTCACAAATGGTATATAAAAACACCCTATCGAATATCCAACAAATGCAATATTAATACACAAATTTTACAGAAGATTCTTTTTAAAATTTTAATTCTGATAATATAGTATTTCTATTATATAATTTTATATTAATATATAACTAATATCATTAAATAACATTAACTCTCATACTTAAAAACATTCATGAACAAATAATAATGCATAATGATAATGGAAGACCTAACACTAAAAAAGGTTCAACCAAATTTGGTAAAAAATATTGTACTATTTCACTATATCTTTTAAAGTCACTAATTGAATCATACGAATATGAACAAGTATATGTTCCTGAAATTCTTGAAGGGTTACATAATCTTGTTCCTGCTATGAATGATTATTTTAATCTTGTACCAACAGTTGAAAGACAAATTAAAGAATCTGAATTAACTTTTATTTTATATGAGTCTTTTGTTTTGCCTAATAAAGAACGAGTAAGGGCTACAAAAAATTTTCATAATAAACTAATGTTCAATAATGTTTCTATTTATTTTTTTTTTTGGTATTAAGGTGAGGCCTTGCTCGTATCTTTATTGGTAGTTTAAAAATTAGTAGCTACATG